ATATATATATATATATTAGGGCTGTCAGTCGATTAAAATGTTTAATCTAATTAATTACAGGGTGCTGCAATTAATTAATCGAATTAATCGCAAACTAAATCTGGCTGTGAAAATACCCCAAAAGATCATTTAAAGCTATTATTGTTTTAAATGTTTAGGCTACAATGGCCTAACATAAAGCATGGAATATAAAAGAAGAAAATTTTTGAAACAGCTCAGTATTTTTTGTTCATGCAATGAAAGTCACAAGTGACTAAAACAGCTTAGTTACCAGCAATATTCAAAATACCTTCTTTTATGTTGCGCAAAAGAAAGTGAGTCATTCAGGTTTGAAACAACATGAGGGTGCGTAAATAATCACAGAATTTATTTATTTATTTTTGGTGAACTATCCCTCTAATGTTTTTTATTTAATTATTATTATTTTTTTTTTAAATAAATGAAATGATACTCTACAGAAGAAACTAAAACTACCAGCAGATGACGGTAAATTATTTTTGGTTTGCATGAGTTCTGAGTATAGAAATGTGCATTTAAATGGAAAAAAAAATCATAATTCTTTAGAAAAACTACTTTTTGGACCATTTTCCATTGTTGTACAGTGTTGCCATATAGCAGCGTTTCCCTAAGAACCCCCCCCGAAAACATCTTTTTTTTTTTTCACAAATCTGTTTTGATTTGTATGATTGAGGCTATTTCATGTAATAAAAACTTATTTGAAAAATAGAGGGTTATACAAGCAAATATCCTGATCCATACTCCAGTTCAGTCGGTGGCGGTAATGCATCAACAAATCAAAGAAGAAGAAGTTGCATACTTGCTTGCATACTTTGGCATTCCTCTGGCTGCAGGTGGCAGTATGGAGTAACTGAAAGAGGCTCAAACGCAAGCAGGGACTCGTCGATGTGAACGATACGTTCTGCCCTTCTCTGCTTTCAGTTCTCTCGGAAAGCCTCGTCTTTATGTTCACCTCATTTGAGAAATATGGTGCATTACCAAACAAACTCTCCTGACTACAGGATTTACTTCAGTACGCTTGCCCTCCTCACCTCTCAAATTTAACGACTGTTGCTAACACACTATCTCTGTGCACGCGTTTAAAAGAAACCCTTAAACTTAACCTGTCTGTTTATTCTGAACACTTTACACTACACATGATGATCTAGCAACACACACGGTCTCTTTATGAAACAGTATGAGAGAACTTCATTAAACACTCAGAGTGAGAGAATGTTACTTCAGTGATACATTGAGACGAATCGAGTTCGGAAAGATGATACAAATTGTAACATTAGCTTCGCAGGAGCTTCAGATGGAAAGTGCATCTCTCCTTCTGTTTGCTGCTGACCAACAGGTTTGTATAATGTACTTCAGTGGTTTTAGATAAGGTTATGATAAATAAATGAGTGTTGAATTAATGCAGTAATCTTATTGAGTGTTTTCTAATGGCATGTTTCTCTCATATCAGGAAATGTGATGTTCCACCAAAGAAAATCAAAACGAATGAGGTAAACATTCATCAGTCTACACATTTTTGGATTTTATGGCAAAATAGATGCTAATAATGTTGTTCTGCCTTCAACAGATTCTGTTTAATATGGTTGTAGAAGTACCTCGTTGGTCAAATGCCGAGATGGAGGTAAGTAGTATATTTGTATTTTTACAAGTTTTCTGTGTCCGACCGAGGCTAGGATGACCAGTCGCCTGATTTGGACATTAAATAGGGGAAAAAATGTAACATTCAATATAAGACTTGCATGATAATAATAATAGGGGGGAAAATAATATCAAGTTATTTTAATATCAAATAGTAATAATAATGAAAAATACCATATAACCATGTAAATCTAACTTAGTATCAAGGCTGTGTAAGTACCAAATTCATCATAAAAAATACAATTTGATATTAAATGTAAAATTTTGTCATCGCATGTGCTGATGTTGTGCTTATGCATGATGCAATAGTAGCTTATTTTAAGCGCAGCATTTTTAAAACCACACTACATTAAGTCCCTTCATCCACAGATAGCAACAAAGAGCCATTAAACCCAATCAAGCAAGCTGTGAAGAAAGGCAAGCTGCGATATGTTGCTAACATTTTTCCACACAAAGGTTACATTTGTAACTATGGTGCACTTCCACAGGTGATGTTCTTGTTTTGATTTTCCAAACGATGTGTCTGCAGTCTGAGCTTTTTATTTGTACAGTATACACATTTAATCTTTTATTATTAATCATTCTGTTAATATAATACTGTTTTTTTTTACCGATGTATAAAGACATGGGAAGATCCCAGCCACACTGACGAGGAAACCATGTGCTGTGGAGATAATGACCCCATAGACGTGTGTGAGATCAGCTCCAAGGTGCGTGGAACCACTGGTTAATATAGTATCTTGCAAAAGCATTTAAACAGTTAAAGGGATAGTTCAGCCAAAACTGAAAACCCTCATGTTGTTCCAAAGCTGTGTGAGTTTCTTTCAGCTGCTGAGCACAGAAGACGATGTTGACGGTAGCCATCGACTTCCATAGTGTGGAAAAAAATACCATGGAAGTCAATGGCTACTGTCTTCAAAATAAAAGAACGAAACTCACACAGGTTTGGAACAACTTGAGGGTGAGTAAATGATGACAGAATTTTTAGTTTTTGGCTGAACTATCCCGTTAAGCAGTTTTGTATTCGACAAAATAACAAGTTTTTAGTTCAAAACACTGAAACCTTAAAATCAACATTTCTGTGTGTGCATGATTTTTAATGACTTTTCAGTGAATGCTCATATTATGACAGTTTGATTCCAATTTTTTTGTTGCTTCGAACTCTGTGCAGATGGCATTTTTGGCCCATTATTCCATGTATTTCATTGTTTTAGTATTTTGCATTATACGTTCTTCTTTCTTTCCTAACACAAACCGGTTATGGGTCTGACTGCTCTTGTACGCCGCCGTATATCTCTGTGTCACAGGTGTGTGCAACAGGGCAGGTGATCCAGGTTAAAGTTAGGCTTTGATAGATGAAGGAGAGACGGACTGGAAGGCAATAGCCATCAACACAGAGGACCCCGATGCTTCGAGACTTAACAGTGAGTCATTGGTTTTTGTGTTGTTATTTTATGATCTGCATTTATGACTGTGTAATCTCAGTTAGTGCATCATTAACAGGTATTGAGGATGTGAGAAAGACTAAGCCTGGTCATCTTGAGGCTACTGTGGATTGGTTTAAAAAATATAAAGTGCCAGATGGGAAGCCTGAGAACCGGTTCGCCTTCAATGGACAGTTTAAGGATAAGGTAATGGTTATTTTATGTGTTAATGCATTTAATGATCAATCATCTAATGTTAATATCTGGCTCACACACACACAGACAGACACTCACATTCACACGCACACTCACACACACACACACTCGTCATGTATGGGCTGAAATGAGCAAGTAACATTGGTGTTTATGTTTTCTGTACTTAATTACTGTTATGAACATATTTCAAAATACATGTGTTTTAGTGCCAAAGCTTGTTACCTTTCATACTTTGAAGGTTGACTAGTTAACCTCTACAACTTGAGGTTTTACTCTTTGATTTCATCATCTTTTACAGTGCCTTTTAGATGCATGTGTTTTTTTTATTATTTCTGTTTATATACCTAGATTGATAAGTCACTCAGGAACAAAAATAAATCGATGCATCGCGAATCGAGAAATGATTCTGCATCGATTCTGAGATTTCCCGAAGGCATCGCAATTCTCTCTTGAAACGATTCTGAGCTATGTTCACAGTGGGCTGTGTTTACATTAATCTTTTTTTTTTCCAGAAATTCTGTCGTATTTACATTTTTCTGGTAATCAGATGAAGGCATAAAAAATGTAATTTATCTTTTAATCAAATGTAAATTAAACAAACTATCGTTTTTTGGCTGCACAACAGTGGTTTACTCTTAAAATGAAAACATGGAAGAAAAATGTATTAATACTTTTAGTAGTAGTAGTAGTAAGACGTACATTCTCACAATTTGTTCAAATTAAGCCAAACTTTTATTTTGACAGGTTACCGTGAAGAGTTTTGTTTGTGTGTGTGTGTGTGTGCAAGGTCTGTGTTATATTTGCTACAGAGTGTTTGGAACATAAAAACAGAAACACCTTGGTATTATAATTCTATTGCCAAACTAGTTCTGAGGTATATGATAAGTAGGTTTTTCTACGTCATTCATAAGCCTTCTCAACACCCTATACTCACATTATATGTATAGCAGGTCAAGTAGCACCATTTGAAATAAGATCAAACCCAAAGAAATAGTACTCTTCTTTACTAAACTATTATCTAAGCATACATTCGGGGAAAAAAATCAAATAATTTACTGTACAAATCTCAAAATTTTTATACAGCTAAAGTTGCATTATGTAAAAACCGCCACAGCAAGCCAAGCCAGCTGCCTTTGAAACAGTGACATTGATGTAAAGATAACCCTGTTATGTGTTCCTTGATGCATGCTTTGAGGACTAATATTAATATTGACCATTGCTTTTCTTGACTCCAAGTATCAGTATTCAGTGTTCTGAAATTTCACTTTTTCTTTTGTGAATCAGAACAGTACTGTTACAAAGTTGACCCTCAAAGGCTCACAATACAGTAAGTATAAAGGATTTCTGAAATTGTGATAGCACCAGAGAAATTCTTTAAAAGGCTGTTAAATGATGGAGTTCATCGTTATTGTTTTTTTTCACATCGTGTAATAAAAATGGATGCGGTGTAATGAATTGTCTTTCACATCGGAGGGCGGAAAGTAATACCCTCACTATTATAAAAAGTGCTTCTAAAACACTAGGCAAAATTAATGTTAAAATGTTCAAATTACTTCTTGTAAAGTTTATCAGCATTCTGCTTCAACTACACAAATTCAGATTCTTTTAGTTAGACAAAGTTAGAAACGTGTGTGGCATATACAAGTAATTTATAAGGATTTAAAATGCAAAGGCTCCGACCTGATTTAGAGAAGATGACATGAACACAAGCGATGTTTATGCACAGAAATGAGTTGATATATCCCTGATTTTACAATTTCATTGAAACTCGAAGTTCAAGTAATACTTTCAAGTGTGAAGAAAGTAAGAAATTAACTTAGCATCAATGATGGCCTTAAGGTCTGTGTTATATTTGCTACAGAGTGTTTGGAACATAAAAACAGAAACACCTTGGTATTATAATTCTATTGCCAAACTAGTTCTGAGGTATATGATAAGTAGGTTTTTCTACGTCATTCATAAGCCCTCTCAACACCCTTAGAAATTCTCACATTATATGTATAGCAGGTCAAGTAGCACCATTTGAAATAAGATCAAACCCAAAGAAATAGTACTCTTCTTTACTAAACTATTATCTAAGCATACATTCGGGGAAAAAAATCAAATAATTTACTGTACAAATCTCAAAATTTTTATACAGCTAAAGTTGCATTATGTAAAAACCGCCACAGCAAGCCAAGCCAGCTGCCTTTGAAACAGTGACATTGATGTAAAGATAACCCTGTTATGTGTTCCTTGATGCATGCTTTGAGGACTAATATTAATATTGACCATTGCTTTTCTTGACTCCAAGTATCAGTATTCAGTGTTCTGAAATTTCACTTTTTCTTTTGTGAATCAGAACAGTACTGTTACAAAGTTGACCCTCAAAGGCTCACAATACAGTAAGTATAAAGGATTTCTGAAATTGTGATAGCACCAGAGAAATTCTTTAAAAGGCTGTTAAATGATGGAGTTCATCGTTATTGTTTTTTTTCACATCGTGTAATAAAAATGGATGCGGTGTAATGAATTGTCTTTCACATCGGAGGGCGGAAAGTAATACCCTCACTATTATAAAAAGTGCTTCTAAAACACTAGGCAAAATTGCTCAATCAAAATAACTGCGTATTACTTTAAAATATTATGCAAGGTGTTTTTCTCTGTGTTGTTAAAGAAAGGCATGTGAAAACACATTTGCATTTAAAACACTCCCTAGCACCATAAAAAGTGATTAGCCACAAAAGTCACCAAAGATTAATATTTCGCTCCAGTAATTTGTCCAGATTTGCTGGACTGTAAGCACCATAGATGAAGGACAGTGTGTTATCATAAGAGCGTAATTAAATAATAAATAAATATTTCCATTTGATCAAACAGTCAAGGTTGACTTTTTAAGAGCACCACTGATGATCTGCTGCCTTTCCATATAGTAGCACACTGAATATATGTAATGTTAATAACCTCACACAGACTGAGCAAGCATTATGTGTCATCTAGCCAGTGGCACAGAGGTCTGCAACTCTATATTGTAGCACCATTTGATTTTTCTTATGCCACTCTTATTGTTATGTTTGTGACTGCTCTGGACCTACGGAGGTTTTCACAGGAAATGATTGTAAGGCCCAGTCACCTTGGTAAAGGCATAGGGAGATGTGCTGACATATGTATTGGTAGTGCAGGACATTGACCGCTCAGTAAGCATGAGAAGGAACTGCTTATATGGAGGCTCTGAAGGTTCTGAATGTTCTCGTTTCACCTTCTTTCCACTGCTCTTGCTCGACGTGTTTTCAGCGCCATGCTTCTCAGCGTCCTCCTCTTTCTCTCGGGCCTTCTCTGCCATTTTTGCTTCCCACAGAGCCAGTCCATGTTTTGCCTCGTTCATGTTCTTGTGCTGGTAAAACACTAAGGAGATGCGGGTGGGATGGTTGCGGTCAGGCTTCTTGAGAGGTGTAGTCGCATGGAGCTCCCGCTTAGCACACTCAATAATGATTGACCCGTGACTAGGTGCCACTGCCACCCCTCCAATTTCAGGGTCAAGGAAGTTGTGCTCGCTGTCAGACCACACATCCACCTTTTCTTTTTGCTCTGAAGTCTGGGTAAGTGGTTCCTGTTTGACTACAGAGTTAAGGGTATTTTCATTGGAAAGCCTCAAATCGGGAGGTTGGTTCGGGTTGAAGCATTCAGTACCCAACGGAGGAAACACCTGAGAGATACCGTTTACTCCATGCATGTTTATCTCTAAATCTTTATTTCTTGGCATACTTAAAGTATTTAGATTTGGGGGAAACATCTGAGGATTCTGGGACATGTGAGGTTTGGGGTAAGCTTCAAACTGGCTGTTTTTACCGATAGCTGCATAGTCCAATTGTAGATGGGCTGAAGGAGGCATGGAGAAGGCATCGGGTGGCATGTTAGCACCATAACCTGGATAATGTCCCATAGAGTGCATGCCAGGTTTCATGTTACAGGTGCCATAACCATTGGCTGGCAAGCTAGGCTCTCCATAGTGTGGTGGGTAGTTGACCCCGTAATGTTGAGGTGCATTGTACTGCTGCTCAGAGTACAGTGAATTTCTTTGGGGATGATACATATTTGGATGCTTTAGATTGGAAGAGTAGTAAGGGTGGTAGTTGTCCACAGGGAGTCCTCCATTGCATTGGTAACCACTGTAGAGAGGGTTGGGCGTAAGAGACCTGGGATATGGGGTGGGTGCATTAGACACATTAATGTAAGAGTTGGGTGCATGTAAAGGAGAGGGATAAGAAGACGGGGTTTGAGGATGTGGGGTTGCTGGTTTAGAAGTGTTTGAGAGTGGTTGAGCAGCATGAGCATGTGGGAGATGCACAGAGTCCAGATTTGTTCTCATGTTACCTGGGCCTGGAAGAAATGATGGGATTCAACCAAAATGTAAACTTTCGGTGTTGTGATATTGATAAACACTTGTAATCTGTTCCATTACTTGGTTATATAATTTATTTGACCATTCTTAAATAAACTATGTATAACTGAATAAAGTTTGAAAACTTGAGTATTGGTTTTTGAAGCTTTGCTTCTGTACCTGTTGGAGTTGTGTTCTGGCCTGGGTTCTCATAAGGGACCTGTTTCTGCTTTGCTTGCTGGGTGTTGACCATTTTGGCGTTGGGTGTATTGGGGTTGTTTGGTTTGTTAGCTGCAGCTCTCTTGGCATCCAGCTTCTTCTGCCGACAAGACTTGGCAGGCTCTGGTAGCATACGCACCTGTCTACGAAAGGCACTGAGCACCTGAATAGCACCAGTCTTGGTCTTCTCCAGCTGAGCCTCAGCACTGCCAAACTCATCAGTGGATGAGGGCTTGTATAAGGGAAGCACGTGTAGCTGCTCATCCTCAGGAATTTTTCCAATCTCACGATTGTCCTCTCGTGTTAGTGTGCAAACCTAAGCAGGAGTAGAGCGGGAGGTTTTTAATATTGTATACACTACCTTTAGTTCTCCACCTACAAGGTTGGAATGTATCGGTTTGTAAAATATCTGATGGTTCGGGTGAATGCTTTTTATTAGTCTTATTAGGGCACTCTACTGTAAGCATTTAATTCTTACCGCCGTACTGCCTCCGTGCATGTTTTGAAGGTCTCTGTGGGCATGGGCACAAAAGTCTAGGCAGGCTGTCACTCCAGAAAATGGCCGTCCTTCTTTTAGACCCAGACGGCAATCGGGAGCTCTATGTTCATGGTCCACCTGTCAAATATAGGTAGATATAGAAATTACTTCTAAATGCCTTCTTTCGTAGATGCTCCAGAGTACATGCACTTTTGCAGTGACTACTTATTTCATATATTACGACACTGCTGCAGCTTGTTATTCCACTTTGAAAATCTCAGGAAACTTTAAAAAAAAAAACAGATATATTCTTGATAGTAGAATAAGACCTGAAGCAGAGAGTGCGAATGGATACCTGATTGGCGTAAGCATCAGGTGCCATTTTTTTATACACTGGGGCAATGAAAGTTGCAAGACCCTGTAGATTTTGTTCCAGTTTCTCTTCCTGTAAGTGAATAAAAATTATCTTATCTTTAATTTTGCATGCCCTTTGTTGACTCAGTGGTGTGTTTGTGTGTGAGCATCTTACCTCCTTGGGATCATCCCCAAGTAGTTTGAACTTTCGGGGGATTTTACTCCTAGCAAATTTGCAGCCATTGTAGTACATGCTCCAGGAGCAACCAAATGAGAAAGAAGCTCCACAGGCATCGGGTTCAAAACCCTGACATGCACATGTTCTCCTAAGGACAATGACAGAAATTACAGAATGTTAATTTCGAAGATCAGTAACATACTGTAAACATACCTCAGAATAGGGTTGCTCAATACTGTTCCTGGAGATACCTACATGAAGAGTTCATTTCAAACTCTTCTCCAACCTGTCTGTAATTATCCTAATTAGCTGGTTCAGTTGTGTTTGATCAGGGTTGGAGATGAACTTGGAATCTCCAGGAACAGTATTGGGCACCCCTGCCTTAGAATATCTAGGATATTTCGTTTAAGCCATTAAATAACTATAAATTACTATGCTATTTATGTTAAGCAGAAAGAGGTTAGATACACATGTAGCAATACAAAGACCTAAGACAATCAATTTGGATTCATTCTGAAATGATAATGTGTGTTGGTCAGTGAGTGTTCACTGTATTTGTGAAAACGCAATAATAAGCATTTGTCCTTACTCCTCATTTAGAGCACATCTTCGGTTGGTCAGGCCACCATGTTTTGTTAGAGTGTCACTGAGTTCAGTGTAAAGACGGTCAGCCATGTTGATTGGTATGCCTTCCCAAACTAGGATGACCACTACTATACAGGATGCCTCACAGGAGTGACCAACCCGCTCTCGTACCAAGACTAGGAGTTTCTCGTCTACATTTGCCCTCCGTATTACCTACACAACATAATGCACATGTACACATATATTCAGAAAGTATACAGGAATCAATTTGAGGCATCTGTCAATTAACTGTGTTTTCCATAGAGGGCGCTGTTGATAAGAAAACCAACAAGTGTACTTTAATATTTAATAACTACAACAGACAAAGGGAGGCAATACATATGCACACAAAAAAGAGAACATAGGATTTAAATAAATTGTCTTTACCCATTTAGCAATGGGGCAGCCCTGCTCACTCTTGCCTTCCTTGCCTGTATACACAACTTTTTCAATCCTAATGGCACTTCCAGTCAGTCCAGATCTGTCAAAGGCAAATACAGTAATATTATGTATATTATAGTACAATATATAAATAGAGCATTATTTTTCTGCATGAGTGGAGTTTATGATATCACACCTTTCCTCCATAATTTTGCGGATGCCTGCAACATTTGGTGCTGATCCCAAGTGAGTATAATATGGGCCTTCATCCCTTTCACTGATTTGCTCTGTAGATTAAAAGAATATGAGAATGGTATTGTGTCTTTTGGAGTCGAAGTTATAACTAATATGTGATTTAATGTCATTAATAACAAGAACAAAATATTGTTAAGATATTAAACTATTAACATCATGACTGAAGATGTTCTTTTAAGAGGTTCGACAGATGTGCAGTTCTAATGTATATAAGCAAAAATAAATGTATATAAACTAGGCTAAAAGTAGCTGTATAAAACCTCTTACCAACACAATGACAAGACGAAATATCATACTGTGTCTTCAAAGGTGTATCTAGCAAGTTTTTTATCGGTGTGTCAAGCAGCTTCATGGGTGACTCCAGAAAGCTTTGTAACCCAGGTTCAATCTTTTTGGGCGGGGTGAAGTTTTGTGGTTTGCACTGTTCCTTGAAATTCCCCTCAGCACTGGTTGAGAGCACAGTCACAGGCCCAGCCATCTCCACCTTCACCTTATTGGGTGACTTTATGACGAAAGACTTTCTTTCAAACACAGTTGAGAGCTGATACTGTTTTAACTGCTGCTCCATGGTAGCTAGAATACTCCTCTGCTGGCTTTGTTTACAGGACGGAGAAGGATGCTCCTGCTTTACTACCACTGGCAGGACTTTGGTTTTGTCTTGATCTTGCTGCTGCACTTCTATGAGTGGCAGTTGAGCCGAGGTTTCTAAACCTGAGCAGTTTTCACTTTTTATGACCGGCATCATTGGTCTGATGTTGTTGGGGCTTTGCTGCTCCTGCCTCTGCAGAAGGTGCATTCGCAAGACTGCGTGCCTCTGCAAATCTCCTTGAGCACCTTGGCTTGGGAGAGACTCTCTCTGGATTTGGGCAACGGGTTCTTGGAATTCAGCTTTGGTAAATGTTTGATCAGGTATCTGAAGGCTATTAGAAACTTGTGACAGTTGTGATTGGGAAATCGGAGACTGGGGGAATTCCAAATGATTGCATACCCTTTGTTGGAGAAGTTGCTGGCAGTTTGGCTGCTGTTTACTGGTGTTCTGAGAGTACTGCATGTTCTGCTCAAGTTTCCTTTCGGTTAGAGCTTCCGCTTCTTTAGACAAGGATTGTACATTTGACTTAGATGAGTCTGGAAATGTAGAGTTTTCTCTTAGAGTTGGACTAGACAGTGTTGGTGCTGGTGTTTTTATACCTAGAGATAACTTCTGGGATTCTGAATGAAGGCAACCCTCTGTTTTAAGCCTTTTCAAGAGTGGTGCATCTACCTGGCTGTTGGAAACATCTTGGGATTGTGGAGCTCTTTGCATATTCTGCCTGTCCTGAGGGAGCCGATGGGTAAATGTGCTGGTGGCTTGCTGGTGAGACTCGGCAGGGGGTGGCTGAGAGAGGAAGCTCGGGGATTGAATCTGGTCTTGATCAGTTTTGCTTAATTGCTGGGACATGTGTTTGTTAAATTGCATGGTACTATGATTGTGCATACCGGAATTGTTCTGTTCACATTCAGGGGCAGAATTGTGGGGGAACAGTAGGGAGTTTTTGTAACTGTCTTGTGCCTTATTTTCATATGAGGGACAACTGCGATTACTGAAATTTTGAGAGTGAAAGTTGTTTGAGGACAGTAAGTGAGAATTTATACAGTGACTTTGGCTCTGTGTGACTGTATGCTGCTGCATCTGGGTCCGTGGAAGGAAAAACTCCCACATCTGGGGGTGGTCAGTAGATGGCTGTGGTGCTGAAGCTGAGTTTAAATCTATCCATTCCATCTGGGATGAGCGATCTGTACTCTTTGACATTGTCTTATCCTGACCAGGCTTAGGCTCAATTTGTGGCTCAAAAATCTGTTGCTGAGGCACTGAAAAGTCTCTATTGTCATGGAGGCTTTCATCAACCGGTTGTTTCTGTAGCACCTTAATCTGTAGGTTCTGCTGACCTGTCTGAGTGTTTTGTGAGGGTGCTCCTAGGAGCAATATATAAGATTCACGGCTAAAATCTTGACTGGACTTTCTTAAATGCTCAGAGTCATTCAGAAAACCTACGCTATCTTTTTGAATCTGCGAGCAACCATTAATGCCTGTTTGTGATGGCACATTGGACTCCGAAGGTTGTGTTCCCATATCTGGGAGGTCAGAGAGTGTATAAGCAGGCTCATTTTGCTCGGTGACAAAACTGGAGTATCCATTTACTCTAAGTTCTGGGTTGTAGCCATTGCTGCCTTGTTCTTCTGGGGGTGCCTTGGCAAGTGGCTCGGAGGCAGATGTTTGGGGTGAAATAGGAAAACCTGAGGTAAATGAAGGTGAAGGAGTTTCCTGCTCAGGCAGGTTGCTGGTGACCTGATCTTCTTGAGATGAGTTGCTTTGAGGTGCAATGGACACATGCTCTGGGTAATACTGAGATAAAGTTTTCTCTAAGAGGTCACCAGTTGTACCTTTTACCGAGGGTGGACTTGTTGTAGCACCATTGGGCATTGGAACTTGCTTGTTCCTTGACAGTGAGAATAAATCCCCTTTGGGAAAGTTACAGTTTCTTTTACTATGTTTTATCTCAAAATTATCCCCTGGCTTATTGTGCTTGGGGAATCCATCTAATTGGTTCTCCATTCCTGCATCTCTTTTATCCCAAAGCCTCAGGTCCTCATTTCCATTCACCTCTGAATCAGTGCAGAGTTTTTTAGGCTGGTGAAAATCTAAAAATGTCTGTTCACTAAGAGCGTGTTTCATCTGTCCATTCATCTCATACATACTTTGATCAAATATCCCCTGCATACTAGCAGGTCCTGAACAATTCTCATGTTGACGTTTCATTGGGTAGACTACTGTGCTGGGATTGAAATGGCTCCAATTAGTGTCCCCATTGAACTGCTGAGACTGATCTCCATTCTGGTACCTTAATCTGTAGGTTCTGCTGACCTGTCTGAGTGTTTTGTGAGGGTGCTCCTAGGGGCAATATATAAGATTCACGGCTAAAATCTTGACTGGACTTTCTTAAATGCTCAGAGTCATTCAGAAAGTTGTGAAAGTATCAGACTTTTTTCCGTCTCATGGCTGGTCTTTTCTGTTTCCATCTGGTCTGCTCTGGGTCCATTCACAAGGCTGCCCTCTCTGCGTCCTACATGGAAGACATGGAAAAATACCAATAGTAAAAACACATATGTATTCAAAATATGGTATAAGAAACAATGTTTGATGCTGAATTCAGTTGAGAGGTGCTGAGAAAAGCTGTAAGAAATAACAAAATTCTAAAGGTTGTTTTCCCTCTCAAGTCAGACACTGCTGTTGTGAAAAATGAACCTCGTCTCAAAATAGACATGCTCACCAGAGAACTTCTAAAAAAAAAAATGAAAGCGTCATTCTTTGCATGCTTAGCATTTTCCTGTACAGTCAAATCTGAGAAGGCTCCAGACAGGGGTTGTGTAGTGCATATACTAATGACTTGTTTTTTTCTCTTTGCTATAAAAACAAAGTCCTGGATCTCAGAGTCATAAACATTGCCCTAACTGTCATGAAATATTTAATGAAACAGAATGGTACCAGCCATCTTGCTATCCAGTTCTCTGTACCTATGTCTGTCTTGCTTGGTATTTATAGATTTGAGCATATACCGTATGCATTAGATCTGTTGTCATGAGAGTGGTTGGTTATATTTGATAATACTGCTTTCATCTTGAAGTGTCTTTGGATTAAAGCTAAGAATATATATATATATATATATTACACCAGTTTTTATTTTATTCATGACCTCTGCATTAGCTTCCAAAAAGCTATCTATTTCACTACACATTCTATGAATAATTGAACTAGAAATATCAAAATATCGTAGAAAATAGAGAATTGTATAGATATATTGCTTGCAACCAAATCGACAGAGCCATACAGTAAGAACTGGCATACAGGATATCTAATATATAACAGATTTTTCATGGAATGTCTTCCATGTGTTTGAGTCTAGAATGGTGGAAGAAAAACAGCTTTGAAATAACTACTGGTCTGTTGGGCCTTTAAATTGGATCTTTTTATGGGAGCCACCATTGGAACGAGGAGCGATAAGAGCAAGATAAATTAATAATAATGGTAACACTTTACAATAAGGTTCCATTAATGTTAGTTAATGTATTAACTAACATGAACGAACCATGATCAATACATTTATTACAGTATTTATTCATCTTTGTTAATGATAGTTAAATACAGTTATTCATTAGTTCATGTTAATTCACAGTGCATTAACTAATGTCAACAAGCATAACTTATGATTTAAATAATGCATTAATAAATGTTGAAATTAACATTAGCTAACATGCTGTAGAAAGTGTTACCATAATAATGTACATTTTATTGTTTCATTAACTTTTTTGTTTAATAAAGGTCACTTGGAGAATACCAATGGCAATCTCATTGTGACCTACCCTTATATCCACATAGATTGGATTGGGTTTATTTACAAAATATTCATATTTAAAATGTATATAACTAGCTGTGTCCCTAACTGTATCTAATAGGGTAGTCAGTGAATCACAATTGAGGATTGTGATTGGTTTGGAGCTACATGAAAGTTGAATATGGATCCATTCCAGAGCCACTTCAGGGTTTCCCGACAGCCGAGACACAGTTGGATAAACCCACACTGGAAACCGCACATAAAATCTCTCTGAGCAGGAATGACAAAGCACGAGATCCCAGCTGAGAGCTGTCTATATATGCTCTAAACTTTCAGACAATGGGTTTCCATTGGCTGTGTCTATAGATATAATACTATACATATGATCTTTTTGTTGTTGTTGTTTAAATGTGATGTTTTATTATAATCCTAATAATGATTCACTTGTTCAATGATTCCATTGTTAGAGTGTGAACCATGAAAGACATAGAAAATATCACTTCCCACTGACCAACTGTATATTTAGACAGCAACCTTGAGGCTAAGGAACTGAAGGAACGTATGTGGACAATCTAGTGCCTTATATAACATAAAAACACAAAACAAACCATTTAAACCAGTCCTTATCGTCTTTATCTAGTCTCTTGACAACTAGGAGTGGCTTTGAATTCAGTTTGTTGTCTGTCCTGTTTTTTTAGTTTTCTTCTCTTCAAATCCTCATTCTCTCTGTGTCTATTTAAAACGAGGAAGTTATATTTTCTATGTCTTTCATGGTTCACACTCTAACAATGGAACCATTGAACAAGTGAATCATTATTAGGATTATAATTTTGCTTTGAAAATGGTTTGAGGTTGGGGTATGGTTTAGTGCTAGGGTTAAGTGTTAAATATGCGGTGCACATACTCAGTGTCTGTGTTTCTATACGTCATGACAAAAGGCAGGAGTTGTGCTGTTTGGGTTTCAGTCATGACCTCTGATAAACAGCCAGAGGGTCCAAAATACAAGTAGCCTTGATTGTAAAAACCTACAAATCCTGAAACTTGATAAGGTGCTTATTTAACTTTTTTTAAACTTACTTGTACATCAGTTCTCAGTGTGAAACAGACTAAATGAATAGCATTTTTTGTCTTAGCAGGTACTCCAAGTCTGCAAGACTTGTCATATTGGTCACATGTGTAAATTAAAACCAGTATGTGTTTGTGGAGAGTAAAGTGACAATTCAATTGGATATGAATGCTTTTTTTTTTTAAGGACAAAACATTAAGAGCCAGTTGCTCCTGCACTATTCTGGTTCTTTTCTAAAGTATTAAGGAACCGGACAGGAATGAGCTCATTCTTTTGAAGTTCTAAACAATCAATGGATGAATAGCTGAAGAAAGCAAAACCCATTTTGTTATATTTTAAAATCTAATTCGCTTGGCTATTCCAGTACTGAAATAGATCACATCATGTAGCATGCTGTTCGACTGAGCTTTAGTAAACACACTGCTGCTGGTGCTTGACTGCAGTTGTGCTCTCGAGTGAAACTTCATCCTCTGGTTCCTCCCACTGTAATTTGATCATACAGCTCATGTGCAAGTGTGCTTTAAATGTCACGCATGCAGGGCTTCTCCTTTGAGCCTTAACCATGCCTTATTTTCGCCTGACATACAGACAAGGAAACCAGCTCAGCAAGAATGTCAGCTTCCGCAGTCAACTTTTGTTAGCATTTATTTACAACTTTGACTTGAAAATATTTTTTCCTTGTTGCTATAAAAAGTAACAAAAGAAACCGCAAGCCAGTTAACATAATCAGGACCAGTGTATCTTTCCTTTTCAAGTGTCACACTGCCATTGGAGTGTGTGTGTGTGTGTGTCTCTGTGTGTGTCTCTCTCTCTCTGTGTGTGTGTGTGTGTGTGTGTGTGGGTGTGTGTGTGTGTGTGTGTGTGTGGGTGTGTGTGTGTGTGTGTGTGTGTGGGTGTGTGTGTGTGTGTGTGTGTGTGGGTGTGTGTGTGTGTGTGTGTGTGTGGGTGTGTGTGTGTGTGTGTGTGTGTGGGTGTGTGTGTGTGTGTGTGTGTGTGGGTGTGTGTGTGTGTGTGTGTGTGTGGGTGTGTGTGTGTGTGTGTGTGTGTGGGTGTGTGTGTGTGTGTGTGTGTGTGGGTGTGTGTGTGTGTGTGTGTGTGTGGGTGTGTGTGTGTGTGTGTGTGTGTGGGTGTGTGTGTGTGTGTGTGTGTGTGGGTGTGTGTGTGTGTGTGTGTGTGTGGGTGTGTGTGTGTGTGTGTGTGTGTGGGTGTGTGTGTGTGTGTGTGTGTGTGGGTGTGTGTGTGCGCGTGCGTCACTCCATTCAACACATCAGCACTATATGACTCAGGAAAATTTTCTAAAAACTTTTCTAGCTTGGGCTCTGAACACCACATCCTGAGCTTTAATAGCGCCACTGACACCCGTGACTTTCATTTTCAATAGACATAAGCATAAGAATAGAACAAAGAGGAAAGAAGCCCTTTGAAATGAACGGGTATTTTTAGAGAGTCAGCATGTGTACGTTGGGAAGGTATGAGACTTGACTCCGAGTCTGTTTGGAAGAGCACCGTGAGAAATGTTTTGTAATATTTTTGTATCACATTCTGGTTTAGATCTTCTTAAGAACAACGGAATAGAAACAAAACTTAAAATAGCAGAAGTTGCTGTATGCTTTTAAAGTTGCTGCATTTTTCCTTGTCTGCGCACTCTTTGTTCATCCCCAGTGACATTTTAAATCCTCTTTGTGGGAGAGGATTTTAAGAGAGGTAGATTATTTTAAAAGCTGTGCAGATACACACTTCTGTTTGTAATTTCAGCACAGCTACAGTAGGTCCTCTCTAAAGAGTCGGTGTGCGTTGGACCCACCATTGTCCTTTGTTACTAATAGAAGGCAGATGTGGCTCTGCTGTAACCGTTTGCAGTCAAGTCTTTGTGCTCTCGTTTACTCCAAATGGCCTTTGCATGACCTGCATTGATATGACTAATTATTATGTTGTGTTAGCTATTATATACAAAAATTGAACCCACTAAGCTTAAAAGCATAAGCTTAACATTGCAAAAAAAAAAAAAAAAAGATTTTTGGTAACACTTTATTTTAAGGTGTCCTTGTTACACATGTTGCATGTACTTACTATTATAATAACAATTAATTATGCATAATTACATGCAAGTAAGCCGAACCCAAATCCTAACCATATAGTAAGTACATGTAGTTAATTAACATTACTCAGTACTTATATGTATAATTACACTGTAACAAGGACACCTTGAAATAAAATGTAACCAGATTTTCTTACTTGTCTTGTTATCTAAATATCTAAACATTCTTGAATCAAGATGCATTTACTTTAAGAAGCAAGATGACTTGTGTATCAAAATGTTGTTAGTTTTTGCTTACAACAAGAAAAAAAAATCTGCCAATGGGGGAAGAAAAATAATCTGAATTCAAAGGCAAAACAAGATTATTTTGCCCCATTGGCAGATATTATTCAAGAGCTGATGATAAATACTCAGCACAGGTTGTGTGATTAACAGTGTAACATAGTAGACTGAACCTGCTGACCCTTTTCTTCAGAGTCAGACACTGTCAGAAAACACAGCCATAGATTACTACAGTGTAATTAATATGTAACTAAGCACATAATGCCATACAGCAACCTCCCTACCCCCAAATCATCTTCCAAAATATACTTCCAATAAACATTCCTTTTCGTCTCCTTGTACTAC